GGGATTTCTGGAAGTTGTAGGCCAAAACCATCTGGGGACCCCAGGTTGAGAACCATTGCTCTAAGGGGTCCTTCCTTATAGCGAATCACTGTGGGTAGGGTGAATCATAGGGATTGGCCGTGAGCTTGCCAATGCTTTCTCTGGGATAGTGGTGGAGTAGTAGTGAGCCCTTTTGAATACTTTGCGCTCCTTCATAGGAAAGACATTTCTTCCTCTAGCATGAAGTTTAGTCTCTGCTTGAGACAAAAGAATTGGACCAGGACTAGAAGCACTAGAAGCCACAGAAAAAAGCCCTGGTTCATTTGTGTCAGCCTTCCTCCTCAAGAAAGAAACAAGTTCTCCCTGCTCAGCCAGCCCTAGAAGCACACTCCTCTGAAAACTCTTGGGCCATACAAATGAGATTTGACACATAAGGCCTCTCAAAGTATGACTGTCACTAAGCCCCAGGAGTGCAATTGCATAATAAACTAATCCTTGGAATATTTTAAGAGGATTTTTTGGTGGTGGTGTTCATTATCCAAATTCTAAGCTTCTCTTCTTAACATCTGAGCTCCAGTCTGAGAGGAAGAGGAAAGAGAGAGTACCAGCCACATTCCTTGAACTGATCACATGAAACATGATACCGGGAGGGCATTTTTGGTAACACAGCTAAGGTCAGGCATCCAATTTTTGTCTTTGTTTGTTTGCTTTTGTTCTTCAAAAATAGTTCTTGCATACTTCTCATCAGTTCTCTTCACCCTTTGACGTAAAGAGCAGTCACATTTCCAATCTGGGTGAAACTTATCTCTCAAACTCAGCTTGACTTTGCAGATACATTTGAACTTTCATACAGCAGCTTGGATTAAAGTCCTGTTGAAAGGATCGAAAATACCTGAGGCTGTTGGTTCCATCCTTTTTGTTTGCATTGGTGTACATCATTTATCTAAATGGGAATCTCTTTTTGTGTTTTAGTCAAGTTCTCCACTTCACATTGCTGTCTTATTACTATATATCAGACCTAAAAAACACGTGGTCCTCCAGGTGTTTTGTACTTTGGCTCCCAGAATTCCATTGAATGACCATTGAACAAGCTGTCTAGAGCTTCTGGGAGTTGAAGTCAAAAACATCTGGAAGGCCACAAGCTGTACAGGCTTTCTATAGATGCTAACCTGGAATTAATTTATATAGTGTGTGTCAGCAGTGCTATCCTATCCTACACACACACACACACACACACACACTTCCTGAAAGAGAACCAAGTGCAAATCACAATGGATCATGAGAGTGTCGGAGCTCTAGGGATGCATCTACACAAAGGGTCCTCAAACCTTTTAAACAGAGGGCCAGGTCATGGTCACTCAGGCTGTTGGGGGGCCGGAATATAGTCTGGAAAAAAATGTACAAATTCCTATGCATGCTTCACTTATCTTATTTGTAGTGGGAAGAAAACATGAAAGAATAATACAATATTTAAAATGAAGAACAATTTTAACCAACAGAAGTGTACTACTCTTTCAATGGGAAATGTGGGCCTGCTTTTGGCTGATGAGATAATCAAGTTAATTAGAATTGTTGTTTTGTGCCTTCAAGTCATTTCAGACTTAAGGCAACCCTAAGTCTAAAGTTTAGGATGGCGGGGGATGACCTTGGAAGGCCGCATCTGACTTGCGGACCTTAGTTTGGGGACCCCTGATCTATACCGCAAATTAATGACATTTGACATCACTAACTGCCATGGCTCAATGCATGGTATCCTGGGAGTTGCAGTTGTATAATGTCTTTATCCTCCTCTGCCAAAGAATGCTGGAGCCTCTACACACTACAACTCCCATGACTGAGCCATGGCAGTTAATGTAGTGTCAAATTGCCTTGATTCTACTGTGTAGATTCTTCCCAGGTGAATGGCTTAGGTCTAGGTTGCCTGACAGATCATTTCTCCTGGTATGAATTTACCTAGTTTTTTTCTAAGTAACGTTTTAAATGTCATTGTTTGTTTAATTGGTTTGTTTACACTTTTGTACTAGCCAGAGCCCAAAAGTTGAATTTTAACTTTACCTTATTAGCTGCCTTGGGTTCCATATTGGGAGAAGCTTGGGGTATAAATAAAATGCATGCACACATACATAAATATAAGTTGAGACTGCATGAAAATGGCCTGGGGTGCAAGTGTGCAAAGTCCAGGGAAGAAAAAGGCCCGCCTTTCCTACCTCTTGCTGTAGGAAAGGTTGGCAGCTGTGCAGCTCCATGGGCAGGTTTATGTCTTTGGGAGTTTCTGGAGGATGCACAATTACCAAAAGTACCCTTAAGCAGCCAAAGGTGTGCTTTTGGTTTGGAAAAACCTTTGATCTGGAATTGTGGAATATGTAGCCTCCATTCTGTTTAAAAATGACTTGCCATCCCAGGAAGATTTTTTTAAAAGCAATTCATCTTCTTTGCCTAAAACAGACAGCTTGGGGTGTGTGAAAGATTGAGGGCTGCATAAAAGTCTGAGGAGGCCCATGCAGCCAGATGACTGCACGTATGTACAATGCGCCAATGTTAGAAAAATATTGGGGAATTACATGTGCAGCATTTTATTCTAAACTTTAGGTTTGTGGGGTCATCCCAACTTGCATTTCCCTTCCCCTATGAGGGGCTGTTTTCTGCTACCCAATTTGGTTGCCAAATGTTATGAAAATCTGGGCCAAGAGCTCTGCCATGATCAGTAAAGTTCCCTTGTACTATAATCTTCCTCTAGATCAGGAATGTGTATGTCTCCCGGGAATTATTTGCTCATAAGCAGAAGAGAAGAAATGGACAGCATTGGATTCTCCCTTTGAGCTTCTCTGTGGCTCTCCCTAAATATTCATTTGCCGTGGTATTTTTGTTGTTGGCAATACCGGGAGTGTATAAAATTATGTTTTTGCACAGCTGCGATTGATTTCAAAAAGCTCAGGGTTCCTTCAGCTTGGGATTTAACGCTGGCTGGAAATCATCCTCAAGTGCAGGAGCCAAGTCCCTGCCTCGCCCGTCCTGTGACATAAGAGCCTGCTGCAAAAGCATCTAAAAATAGGATGCCAGCCTCATTCCTTCCTTGGCAGCCAATCACAAAGAGGGGGTTAGAAGCACTGCTTGCTATCTCTCATGCTCCCTGTTGGCTCTTTCCCTGTTGCTCTCAGACATGACCTGACCAGCTGGAAAGGTTCAGATTTTTTTCTCTCTCCTTTCTTCTGGTACGTAAAGAGAAACTTTTGGTTTTTTCTCATTAGCTGGAAAATTATATCTGTTGGATGCACCAATGAGGGAAAAATATGACACAGGCTGAGCAAGGTGAAAACACTCCATTGTGTTGTTTGATCCCGAATTTTGATCCTAACATTCAGAACCTGATCTTTCATCAGAGCCTGCCTTTCCTCTCCAGACAGCTCCCAGACAGTGCAAAGTCAAGCTCTCCTGTGTCTCATCCGGATGATATGTGAGAGAAAGACAAGCAAGAAGATGTATGGCAGCAGGGCCAAAATGATAGATATCCAGACATTCTGTTGACTAACCTGGAAAGTCTGTTCTTTAAGCTGGTTAAAGTAAATAATTGGCAGTGTGAAAACATTTCATTTATTAATTTACAGATAAAATGTTCAAAATTTGTTTAAAATGCTTAATGTTTGGTATTCAATGGAATTAGAAGAATAGAAGTTATAATTATCTTTTATTAGACTATTCTCCTCCTCCTCCTCCTCCTCTTCTTCTTTTCCATAGAATCATAGAATCCTAGAGTTGGTCCAACCTCTAGCCAAGAAGCAGGAAAATCTCATTCAAAGCACCCTTAACAGATGGCCATCCAGCCTCTGTTTAAAAGCCTCCAAAGATGGAGCTTCCACCACACTCTGGGGCAGAGAGTTCCACTGCTGAACAGCTCTCACAGTTAGGAAGTTCTTCCTAATGTTCAAGTGGATTCTCCTTTCCTGTGGTTTGAAGCAATTGTTCCATTGCATCCTAGTCTCCAGGGCAGCAGAAAATAAGTTTGCTCCCTCCTTCCTATGACTTCCCCTCACATATTTATACATGGCCCTCATCTCAGCCTTCTCTTCTTCAGGCTAAACATGCCCAGCTATTTAAGGTGCTCCTCACAGGGCTTGTTCTCCAGACCTTTGATCATTTTAGTTACTCTCCTCTGGACACATTCCAGCTTGTCGACATCTCCCTTCAATTGTGGTGCCCAGAATTGGACACAGTATTCCAGGTATGGTCTGACCACAGCAGAATAGAGAGACAGCATGATTTGTCTGGATCTAGACACTAGACTCCTATTTATGTAGGCCAAAATCCCATTGGCATTTTAAGCTGCCATATGACATTGTTAGCTCATGTTTAACTTGTTGTCCACCAGAACTACAAGATCTTTTTCACACATACTGCTGTTGAGCCAGGCTTCTTCTTCTTCTTCTTCTTCTTCTTCTTCTTCTTCTTCTTCTTCTTCTTCTTCCTCTTCCGCTTCCGCTTCCTCTTCCTCTTCCATTAATATGAATAGCCTTTCCAGGATCTGTCTACATTATTTAAAACTATTTTTTTAATCTCTCAGGGAATTATTTTTGTCCCAGTGTATGGCATGTCATGTTTTTTTTTTCCAAAAAAGAAGTTGTTCTTTCATAATTCATCCCAATCAAGTGATGAGCCTGTTGTAAATTTAGCTTTCTGGTGGCCATAGTTTGGGCAAGCCATGTTCCCCAGCTAGGAAAAAGAAACAATTGATTTCTTCAGACATTGTATGCCACAATGGATTTTAATAGAAGTATTTCAAATATTTAAGTATTGCCAAGTGCTGAATTATATGTGGCATGAAATGAGTATGTACAAATGACCCCAAAGTAACCCGTTCTTCCAGAAAAAGGATATAATTGTCAAGTGACCTCTTCTTTGTATGAAAATACAACCTAGTTCTGAGACAAACCTTATGACAAGAAGGCAGCTATCCAAAGTGAATTCTTACACAGAACTGAGTTGCATATTAAGACATTAAAATATACGTGACACACACAATATCTTTTCTCATTAACTTTTTAATATCAAATGAAATATTGTCTCCCTTGTCTTGATCTTGCAAGTCAAGAAGAGTGAGAGGTGTGACAGAGAAACGTGGGGACAACACAAGAGATAGATACCTCATTTATAAATGAGCTGGTGATAAATAACTTTCTACCTCCTAGAGAGAGTTTCATCTCACTGGCGCATTCAGCTCTGGCCTCCTGTAATACATGCAGCGAAGCATCGCTTCTTCTCTTTCGATGCTGCCACTAACTTCTTGGCATAGCATCTTTGCCTTGTATGGCTGACTGCAGATATGAATATTTTATAGCCCACTGATTAGTGGCTTTTCACTGTCTTAGACACTTAAGTATCTCAGCATAGCAGCCTTTTGCTACAATTTATTTGTTCTTGTTCCCACTGATCATTATCCCAGAAGCTCACTGCACTTTGAATTGACTTTTTACTTAGTTTTCTTTTCTTGAACCCTTCCAGAGAGGGTTGTTCCTTGGTGCATTATCCCATGGATGAGCTCCTTCATCAGTCTTGGTTACATGATGAACAAACTGTGGTGGGTCTGGATGGTGTCTCTTCTCCCTGAGACAGATTGGGTAGTTGCATCTTGTCTGGCAGATAAGACCCTGCAGTTAAACAGAAGGTCAGATTAAAGCAGAGTACAGCCTGCCAGATGTTGCTGGACAGAGATTCCTATAGACCAGTGGTTCCCAACCTCTTTTTGACCAGGGACCACTTGACCAGGGACTACTTGACTAGGGACCACTTTGACCAGGGACCACTCTCCAACATTAATACCAAAAGAGCTATGAAACTGTTTTTGGTCAACTTTGGATTCGGTTTGGAGTGCTGATTCAGAATATTGCATTGGATAGACTACATCAGCTCAAGCTTCTGATACAGAACATATGCCATGGTCGGTGACAGAGAAGGAGTGACAGAGAAGGAGTGGCAGGCGGTGCGAAAGGACTAGAAATAAAATAAATAAAATATAATAAATAAATAAATAATGAGGCTTGGCAATGAGATTTTCATCCTTGCAGCCCTTGGGTGGCCTGCGGCTCATAGGTTAAGAATCAGTGCTATAGACTTTAACCAGCATAGCCAATGGTGAAAATTGCTGGGAGTTGTCATCCAGCAACATTAAGATTTGCCTATCTTTGCCTGTCACCAGACTAGATGACCCTCAAACCCCTTTCCAACTCTGCAATTCTATAGATCTCTGATCAAGAGCTTAATGTATGGTGGAAATATGAGTGCAGATGGGTGGGACTGCTGGTATATACTGCTGGTATATCTTGATGCACAAGACTCCTTAAATCAGCATGGAAATGGGGAGGGGTGTGGGACAGTGACTATATGCGGTCTGTTAATCCCAAACAATAAATAGGAAATGACAAATGAAGTAGAAGTGGCATATTGGAATTCACAAGAGGAAGGATAGTAAAAAGGGAGCATAATCAGATGCATACCTTCAGGAGATTTCCAAATGCTCAAGAATATACTGACATAGAAAATAGCAGGCTCTGGGTACCCACTAGGGTTTGATTTCAGGACCTGGATGGATAACAAAATCTTTGAATGCACAAGTTCCATTATATACAAAATTATACTTAAAATGTATAAAATAGCAAAATCAAGGTATGCCTTTTGGACTTTTAAAAATATGTTCAAACTGTAGAACTTAAATCCATGGATACAGGATCTGTGGATATGGAGGGGTGAACTGCACTGAAGACACAATGGCAAATTGTTCCCATGAAAATTGTTTAACTGGATTATTGTACATTTTTGTGTTAATATTAGTTGTTTGTGGTTTATATAATTTATTAGAAATAAGGACATTTAAGAAACTCTGTGCAGCTGCGGGAACCTTGTCCAATGAAACTCAGAAGGAATATGCTTAGGAAATGGAAAAAGGGACATATCATCAAGGGGAAATCTAGCAGATTTGCTGGACTCTGTATGGACAGCATCAGGAAAGAAAGCACCATTCTAAAATGGGCTGAGGTTGGAGACAAATGCTAAAAAAAATCCAGAAAGGTATCTCTGGATATGTTTGGAGCTAGAAGACAATTAATGAAGAAGTAGTTTCACTGCAGAGGCAGTATGGCGACCTGCTAAGAAACCTGCTAAGAAATAGCAAAGAGAAGGCAAAACTACTTAGATTGTTTACTGCCACCTTCGTATCCCCACAAGTAAAGTGGTTTTCAGCTTGACACAAGTAAAACAGGAGAAACGAGCCCTTGCATCCCATTCCTGGAGATCATCTAGCTTATTCCTCATAGACTTTTTTTCTGACCCTCATTTTTTTTCCTCACTCACTTCCTACACTGCATGAAATACTGACTTGAATTACATGTCAAGTCAGGGACAATGTGGATAGCAAAATGGAAGCAGAATGGATAGAAAAACCTACAATAACTTCTTTTCCAGTGCTTGGAGGAACTGAATGCGCCATACACATTCTCTGATTTTGCAAGCTGATCACCCTAAATGCAAGCAAATGTGTGTGGGGGTGGGTGTTGCACACATGCACATTTCAGAGCCTGTTGCCTCTATCAATCCATCTTCTGCTAAATCCTGAAGTCATTCTACTGTGCCGTGTCAAGCTGTCCACATTTCAGCATCTGAGCTCTCTCTACTGGCATTACTCAGATACATTGTGAGAATTCTGATATATTTGTTTGATATGTCAAAATTAAAAGTCGGTGCTAGGTTTGTATTTGTTTTAAGTTGCTGTTTTAGCTGTATGCATATGTGTGAGAGACACAGACAGATAGACACATGCACAGACAGTAAGAGAATAACAGCTAAACTATGCACACACATAAAATTCCAGTATCCTGAAAGGTGAATACCAGAAATAAATCAAGAAATAGTAGGGACTTTGTACTTTTTCAAGTATCCTTTCATTCCAGCGATGGAAATAAGAGGAAAAACAAGCCAATTCAAAATACGGATGCTTCATCCCTGCCAGGCCCTCTGTTTACATTTTTTTTTTCATCAAGCAATTCTTGTAGATGGCATCTCTCATGCCTTTTATTAAACCTATGACATTTATTGGGAATTTATTTCTGGCATTTAATAATGTATGCTGGCTGTCATATCTAACTCTTCCTCTTTTCCCCCTTTTTGGCTTAGCCTATCAATAGTGAAAATGAACTCTTGCTACTTACTACTTTGCCATCTTCCACTAGGAAAAGCCTTTCTTGCTTCTCTGCCTTTCACCAGTTGGCTTCCTGTAACAAATGCCATCTTGACTATTTTCAGCCAGTCACCCCTGGAAAGCTCATGTTACTTCCTGTTCATATCTTCTTTCCTGTGTCACTTCAATTTAGTTTGCAGCTGTAATCATTTACGCTACTCTGTGCCTTCCTGTAGCTATCCCATCTGAAAAGGAATAACTGGGAAGTGGTATTGAGCAATTTATATAGTGTTTTACAATTATATATCAAGATAGCTCCTCTCTGCAAATCCTTAATCTAAGAAGAATAATTAATCTGCTGAGAGGAGAGAGAGAGCAAGCTGGTAGCTATGGAAGCTTAGCAATAAGATATTTCCTTTCTTCATTGCTTGTGGGTCTCTGCTGTAGAGTGTTTACTTATCTCCCAGTAGGTACTCCTAAGTCAACATTCAGCAGATACAGGTAGGATCATAAATGCATCCCTTTTACTAAGAACACTGGAAGAAGAAACGCAAGCTATACTATTAAGCAAAAGATGGCAATAGATGCCAAGAGCCAGGTAGTGATGGTAGTGAATGCCAGGAGGACACAATGGTGTCTCCTCCATCTGATCTTCCTTGGCTTTCCACAGATGCTCTGCTGCCTTCAGTAGGGGTAGAAGGTTCTGCCTTGTCAACAGAAGTGAAGAAAGTTTCAGCTGTCCATTTTGACTCAGAAAGATAGACATTTGTCCTTAGCCTCTGGCAGCAAAATGTCACAGGCTGCTCCAGAGGTAAAATGTGGGCATTATCCCATCCTAATAAGAATTCTGCCCTCTCCAGTCATTTCTTCCCTTCAGTCCTGGAATTTCTATAGTCGAAGCTGAACATTGGAAAATGCAGTTTAGGTATCCTAACAGAAGGCCTACGCAGTTACTAAGGGAGAATGATTATGGGAAATGTAAGGGTGCTTTAAAAAACTGGGTCCTGAAAGAAAATGTCTCTGGAGTTTATTTATTTATTTATTTATTTATTTATTTACTGTCCTTGTATACCGCCGTTTCTCAGCCTAACTGGCGACTCAACGCGGTTTACAACAAAATATACAGTGCACAGTATACAATTAAAACCATAAAAAACATAATACACAATATTACACGTAAATCACAATCCAATACATCTCCTAACTAAAATCGTGGTCCAATTGCATCATCCATATTACCAATCCGTAATCAACACATTCATTGCACCCAATTAACCAAGGCCTGCTTGAACATCCAAGTTTTTAGTCTTCTTCGGAATACCATCAGCGAGGAGGCTGATCTTACCTCCATGGGAAGGGTGTTCCCTTTGGCAGAAACTCTCCTTTGGGGGAGGAATGCCCTCATCTCACCCCCTAAGCCTTCATTCTGGTCATAATACAGAAATAGCTACAAACTCCAGGATACACCCAGAGGGGTAGAACAAACAAGAGCCAAAGACAAAGATGATGAGTTTGAAACCTGCCAGGCAAATATCAGAAGAGAAATCATTACTGGTCTGCCTCTGAGGATGCTTGCCACAGATGAAGGCAAAATGTTAGGAGAGAACACTTCTAGAACATGGCTATACAGCCAGAAATGGCCCCAACAACCCATTGTTGGGGCCATGGTGGTGCAGCAGGTTAAACCACTAAGCTGGAGAACTTCCTGGCTGGAAGGTTGACAGTTCAAATCCGCAGGATGGGGTGAGCTCCCGTTGTTACCCCAGCTTTTGCCAACCTAGTAGTTTGAAAACATGCAAATGTGAGTAGATCAATAGGTACATCTTTGGCTGGAAGGTAACAGCGCTCCATGCAGTCATGTTGGCCACATAACCTTGGAGGTATCTACAGAGAATACCAGCTCTTCAGTGTAGAAATCTAAATGAGCACAGAGTCTGACTTGACTAAGCTTTATGTTGAGGGAAACCTTAACCTTTACCTTATATAATGTTAATTCATTTTAATAATCTGAATGTTTTGTGTTATAATTTACAAATTGTTTATAATTTTGTATTTATACTTTTATAGCTGTTTTTAATACATTGCCAGCCACCTTGAGTCTCACTCTTGAGAGAAAGGTGAGAGGAGAAAGGGGTTCATATTGTGTTTTGGTGGTGATTTTTGTGTATGTGCATGGCATCCTTGAGGCTCATGTAACAGGTAACCTAGCCTGTTATTGTGAGATGGAAGAGGCAATTGTGAAAGCTTCCCAGGCTTTTTATCCAGGGACAACTTTCTTTGTTTGGAAATCATTATAGCCTTGAATTTTATCTTCTCTCTGTGTAAACAAATCCAAGTGAAGAGGTAGCTGTATCTGGCCAAGAGACTATATAAACAAGCCAGCCACTCATGATTCCCTCTCCCCACACCTGAGCTAATTTCATTTTAATTTATCTTTCGTCAACCAAATGAGACAAATGTGATGATGAACAATGCTGCAAACGCTGCCTATTTTTTGAGAGACAGCAGCAAATGACAAGGAGAGGTGCAAGGACAAGTGCTAGAAATCACACACCGCTTGCCTGCACCTTGTCAAGAGAAGGAAGCCTGTTGCAACGTTGACATTGAAAGGCAATCTGATATTTCCAAGATATGTTTTCTTTTTAATAAGGTAATGCTTTATAACTGGGGAGGTGGGAGATGGGGAAGGACACACACAACACACAATGGTGACAAGGAGGGAGGAGAAAGCAGAGGACTTGGGAATTAACATTGCTCCCTCTTATTCTAATAGCATACCAGTACTTTTAGGAGTGTCTCAGAGCTTAAAGGGTGAAAGGTGAAGTTATCTTTCAAGAACAGGGCTAACACTACAAAGCTACTTAATGCAAACGGGGGAATAAAGCAGGCCCATCAATTTACCCAGACAATGTTGTACATGGGTTGGTTTCACACTGCGTGCCTTGGATTGTAGTGTTTTCCCATTGAGTTGGGGGGGGGGGTTAGTCTCCCCCCCCCCTTTTTTTTTCTGGGCTTGCTTTTCATTTTCTTTCTTTCCTCTTTCTCACTCCTTAGCTCAGCACAGCCAATTATAATATTGGGCAGTTTTTTCCCTGTACTATATGGGGCTTCCTTGTACAGCGAGGATAAGAGCGAAGCTGCAGCTGACAATGGTGGCTTATGTTGTATTGCTTCTCTCTAAGCCTCTGGGGTGCCAATGTGAATTCATGAAGCTCAGTGCTTGCCTTTCTCTCCCCCTCTCCCTTTTTTGTTAAGGCTTTTCATTTCCCAAGGAGATGTGCCATGCACAGAAGAGTATGAGCAATTGCTTCCAGAAGGGCTTTTGTACATGAAGAGAGAAACTCTGCAAATCCTTCTGCATTTACCATCTTTTCCCATTTAGAATATATCACAATACTAAGATTCCTTGTTCGGGTTTTTTTTACTCTTTTTCTTCCCTCTCTGGTTATAGTTTCTTAGATAGCTTCCACTCCACTGAAAGCAGCTCCAAGCAAACATTGGGGTGCAGTGGGACTTCTCCTATAGTAGGATAACAATAGTGTGCAGTTCTATGCAGGCTGGTACTGAATCCTAGCAAAAAGTCTCCCTTTCCTCCTCTTATGACCTGAATCAAACTTCAGTCCTCTATATTTTCAGCATCAGGTACTTAAGTTTCTTAAATAATTGGTTGTTCCTCACTATCCATAAATATGTTTGATTTGACTTCCTGTCTGCATCAGCAACCACTTGGACAGTGCAGCCGTTGGGTTGCACTGAAGTATCAGCTCTACCGTCTGTCCTAGGTGAGCCACAAATCTAGGGTGAACCCTTAAACTAAGCAGGAAGGCAATAAACAATAACTATAATTTCTGGGTTTTGGCCCCGGACTCACAATACTGCATAAATGAGAGAACTGAACAAACAATATAGGCCATGGGGAGACAGCAGCTATTGTTAAAATGGAGTTCAAGCTTACTAAAACAGATCAGCACACAGCTGAATTTTTAATTTTATGTTAACACAGCCTATCTCTGTTTTAGTACTGTTGGGTTGTAAAGTCAAACTAGCTTACGTAGATGTCCACATACTAGAGGCAAAGGCAACCCGGCAGGAATAATGAGGAGCCTTCTCAGTGGACTCCTATAGCCCATCAGTCGCTGCTTCAATCCGTTTCATAATCCACTGAGGTACTGATCTCTAGGTACAGCACATGCAACATCCTGATTTTCCCCCCCTCAATCTGGATTAGTTGTCCCATGAGCCACTTTTACAATGTATGGAAGCAATTTGTATAAATTTTCAAAACAAGCAGATTTATTAAAATACTTGTAAACACATGATCAGTTCAAATGAATGGGACTTGGCTAGCAATGATTTTAGGATTTGGACACTTGTATGCATGGATATTTTAGAAAACATTCCTGCATTTACCGTCAAAGGAAGACACCAAATTGGTACCACCCTAGGTTTCCCATAACCATGTGTTTACAAGAAGCAAAATACTTTAATAAACAATCAATGCACAATGTTTTTGTGCATTTTGTTTTTGTGCTTTAGAAATCAATTATTCTATAACATATTTATCAGAGTAAGACTTGCTTCAAACTTTCCTAAAGCAGAATTCAGTAGTGTACAACGAAAACTTCCCTGTGAAGGTTTGAGTAGCCATGAAGAGAAACTTCACAGCCAAAAGTTTTCGGCTATCATACCTGAGCATTGTTCCATCACCTCTATGTTTGCATATTTTATTTATTTATTGTGTCAGAAGCAAATTGAGAATACAGTTATAATGCATAAAAAACCACAAAGTTATGATATATTTTCTTTCACCAGAAGCTGGTCACTTGGAGTGCCTCTGGTGTTGCTGTAAGAAGGTCCTCCACTGCGCATGTGGCAGGGCTCAGGCTGCATTGTAGTAAGGAGTCTGTGGTTTATTTTATTTTTATTTATTTATTTATTTATTTAAAACATTTCTGTTCTGCCCTTCTCACCCTAAAGGAGACTCAGGGTGTAGCACAGTATATATACAGCAAACATTCAATGCCAGGACATGAATTTATTATATGCATACATAAACATTAAAAACATTTGTCGCAATATTAAAATACAAAGTGGAGTCCATGACATGTGAGTGTGCTC